ATCGTCATAAAATTTAAATTTCTATATTGCATTTTATACATGTTCTAAATTTATCATTGTTTCACTTTCATCACCTGGATTTAAATTTGTCGGGGTATAGTACATTACTATGATTTTTCTGATCTGGATAATGTAATTTGACCGTAAGATCTGGTAAAGGCACAATTTGTTGCTGCATTCCTATTAACTGTAGATGTACCTGAAATGATTTGTATTAAGCTGTTAACATTATGTTAACAGCTTAATACAAATCATTTCAGGTACATCTACAGTTAATAGGAATGCAGCAACAAATTGTGCCTTTACCATCTAATGCAGTCGAGTAACCTGTTTTCGTCAACGCAAAGCAATATCACGGGATACTAAGGCGCAGGCAATCTAGAGCGAAACTCGAATCTCATAATAAAGTTGTCAAGTCAAGAAAGGTAGAAAAAAAACCGCGTTTTTTCTTTTATGAATTCTTGAAACTTTTAAGTGTAAGTTTTTCTTTTATGAATTCTTGAAACTTTTAACTATAAATTTTATACATATAGAAAAAGACGCAGGTTTATTTTGCCGGCATTGAAAAAGTTTGAGAAGCTGGAAGTATTGTCCCTTGTGGATCTTCCTTTCGTGAAGGGTCCTTTCTTAAGGGAATTTGTTACTGCTAGAGGCCAAGCCCTGAAGAATCTAATTCTGACCAATGCTGTGTATGCCTCTTGAATCTCTTTGTTTGATTCTGTCATATCGTTTTTTCTTATTTGGCTTTGGAAAATTAACTGACTCTTTTGTTGAAGTCATCTCTGCAAAATGTCCCAACTTAAGCGTGCTTGACCCTGGCTAACGTATGCCAGCTGACAGATTCGTCTCTGGGTTACTTTGCAAATGGCTGTCAAGCTTTTGGTCACAACTCTTTCAGGCGGGTCCTTAATTACTGGAAGGTTACTGTCTCATGCAAATGTTTCTGTTATATTGGTGCAAGATAGCCATTTATATATGGTAACACATGCTGGTATATATAAGAACATGATCCGTGATTTGTAGGGATTTCGTCTTGTAGTGTTATTTCGTTAGATGACTCTGCCAATATGTTGATCGTGGAGACGTTATCTGTTTTCTCAATTTTCAAATAAATGGGTTCAAGGGGATATACTAACCAAGTGAAAATATTTTATTTACATGTCATGTGATTGGATTTCGCTATTATGCGGGTACATACATCCAAATCTTCAATCTTACAATAAAAAAAAAATTCGCATTATCACTTAGAATACCAAATATATTTTTCGTAAGGAACAATTAAAGAAATAGACCATACTTGTTAGCAAATTAAGAAAATAGGCCAAAACTTTGCAAATTCAAAAAAATAGACCAAATAATGAGTGAAATGACAATTAAACCATCATAACAATTAACTAAATTTTTAATAGCAAAATTAAAAATATCGGCGTTCATTCGTTTTTTGGGATAGACACAACATCCATGACTTGTGTAAATTTCCCTTCAACTTGAATATGCCTTTGCATCAAGTTCGAAATCACCTCACCGTATGTCAGAGCATACTTCAATCGATTAAGGATGATAAAAACAAGGGAGAGGCATTCTCTCAACTTGTGTGGTCCAGAAGATGGCTTGAGGTCAAAGGCACCACCAAGTTTGTCAAGCATCCAATGCTCAGGGGCATTAAGCCTCTTCATATGCTTCTTCAATCCCCTTGTCATGTTTGCACGTGAAGCTCTGAATGCGTTCTGATCCCTCCGACGGCTAAAGCAGACTCCCTCCAGCATAATAGAATTCAAACACATTTGTTTCAGAACATTGGTCATATAAAAAACAGACCAGAACTAATCCACCAATTCTAAGACATTAGATCCCATGTATGTAGCTATACTCGAAAGGCTTAGCATCCTACAACCATAAATCAATTTCAGAGTGAAGATAACTAAACTTCATGAGAATCTCTCAATTTGCATCAAGATTCCAGAAAGGTTAGAAAAACAGAGTTCGTAACTTCAGTATTTGCTATTTGGTAATGTT